ATTATACCAAAAGATTCCAATCTACCTTCAAGGCCTTACAAGACCGCTGGCACAAGTCCAGGTCAATATCCTCTAGCAAAAATCACAGGTTTACCATCACTCAAGAGCAAAGCTTCACTTGTAGACTAGACAAAAAGTAGCTCCTGGCTTTCGTTGCTTCAAAAGCTAAGAGAGATTCTGGGTGGATATGTTGTCAAAGCCTCAGCTGAGCTCCCTGGGATTCTTGCTGCTTCTGTCTAAATTAGTTAACATCTACGTCCTTTAAAAATGTCTGAGTTCTGTGGTGTTAATTCTCAGGGTGTGCAACTCTGCCTGTCACGGCAGGCAACCTGAGCTCTTTCTTTTTAGTCTCAACTCCTCTTGCAAATATTTTGGGGTGAGAGGGATGCTACAAGTCACAGTTCTTACTATTGAAAAGAGAAAAAAAGTATATTTATATAAATGCAAGTATTCAGGATCTAACTTCTGAATTATGTCAACTTCAACTTCAGTAACACTATCTTGTGTTGTTGATAACATTTTAAACAAAGCAACACTATTATTTATTTATTTAAAGTTTTTATATGCCGTCCCCTTGCTACATAGCCTCGGGACGGGTCACAGAAATAAATAAAAAATAGTACAAAAACAAAATACAAAATAGTAAACACTAATCATTTCAGTTTGGCTATTAAACTGCAATCGGTCTATAACTACCACTTTTTAGTTTTAGTTCCTCTTGTCTGTACTTGCGCAAACTGAGGAATTAGCACAGAATGTTTAAATGTACATCTGGGAACCAGAATACTTCTTCTTTGTCAGCCTGATAAGAACACATCCCCCATAGAAATCTAGGCTCCTAATCTTTACCACCATACAAAAAGAAGTATAAGCACTTTATACCATCCAAACAATGGCCTACAACCACTGCATGGAGAGCAAATGTGCTCAATTCTTCTTACCCCAGCTTTAGTGCAATACTGTGACCTGGTTCACTTACAGTACTAACCCATGTTTATTTAACCCATATATTGTTCTAGATTGTCATGTTATGAAAATTCATCCATCCTAACAAACCATGACTGGTTAACCACAGACAAAGCCGAAAAAGTACCCATAGTTTGTTGTCAGGTTGTGAACACATGGTTGTTTAAATCACGGGATTTTGTGATGTGTAGACTCAGAACCATGGGCTGTTTGTGGCATGCTTCACTGAGTTAGAAATATGATGGGCAAGAATGGTCAAAAGAAACTAGCATGAGAGTACAATAAAGATATTTGGGGTAGAGGAAGGGAGCAGCTAAAGAAGCAAGGAAACAACCCAAGGATTGAAAAAGGAAACCATGGTTTCTTTGATCGTCTACCAGGCAAACAAGCCATGGATTAAATAAATCATGGATCAGCATTATGTACAAACAAGGTCTGTGACAGGGCAAGAAATACTACATAAGCAGATACAGGGGTTGTCTGCTATATTATTTCTGCAGCTAAAATACACCAGCTGATCCAGTGTCTGTTATCTAACTGGCAGTCCCGAAAACTCAAATTCCAACTTGCAAAGCATGAAAAAATCTTTCACATGTAGGATATCCAATTATGCCCTTTAAAACCCCTTGACAGGCACACAAAGGAAAGTTACATAAAAGAATACCAACTTCTCATTCATATATTTAGCAGAGGAGATGCTCAAATAGCTTGATGGAAGAACAGTGCAAGCCCCTTTCCTCTATGAAGAAGTTATTTCCTTATGTAAATCCTGCCTTTTATTTAATGGTCACTCACAGAAGAGGCCCAGCTGTCTTGAGCAAGAGGAGGGGAAAATCACATGAGCCATGTTTACGCACAACTGATGCGCATACAAATAGGTCAATTTATATCGGTGGCCATGTAATGGAGTGAACTGGAGGGCTTGCGCTTCTGCCATCCTCTATCAGTGACACTTTCCACTGGAAAATAGCCTGCATTTTGTAGGCTGGATACTTCCCCCTTTTCTCAAATGCAATGGTCCTGTCATATCCTCAATACATATTAGACAATATTTGCTGCCAACAGTCACTGCAATTACCAGAGGACTTTCAGTCTGGCCCACCCTAAAGACAAATGTCTTCCAGCTGTTTTACTCACAGAGCTTTCCCCATCCTAGTATCTTCCAGATGTTTTAGATCTCAACCCCCATCGGACTTAACCAGCATGGCCAATAGCCAGTAGTCTTGGGAGATGTCATCCAAAACATCTGGAGGGTTACAGAAGAGAGCCATGCCCCAGACACACACGTTGTAGATGCAACACAATGCAGCAGTGTATCCTCACACTCTAATAGGGCTACCTCTGCTCAGGACTCAGAGCCACCTCCAGAATGCTGCATCCCATCCTCACCCCCAATTTCCAAACTGATGTAATACCGTTCTTTGGCTCCTGAGCATGCTCATTCCCCAATGGACTGTTCAAAGCAGGTGCTCTGGTCTTAATGCACTTCCGCAAGACGTGCGATTATCCCAAATCTACAAATACCCCCTTCTTGTTGCTCAATTTCAGTCAGCACTCGCCACCCAAGTTCACTAGAGGGATCATCACAGAAACTAGCCTTGTGTCCAACCGGTCAACCATTTACCAACACATGCAGAAATCAAGCTATAACTGGCAACCCTGTTCATTTTTCTAGCCACAACAATCTGTGAAAAGGCACCTGAGCATGTCCCTGTGGTTCACCCAAGTTGTTTGTCCCAGCCCCCTTACCTAGGTGCACAAGTCACACTCTTTTTATAACCTTGTTGACTGAAGTGGAAATGCTAATGGTTAAATTCCTCATTCCATAAAATCACTAATGCAGATTAGAATCTGCAATGAAAAGGAGGGGGGATTCACCATTCCATAAGTGAAAAAAGCATAGGTAAACCAAGATGGAGGACTAAACTGTGCTATGCATTCACAACACAACAGAGCTGAAGCTGTAACTACTTTGTGGTGGTTGAAGACTGAAAGGTATCCTATCTGTGATCTGCACACCAGGTTCAAGTACAATAGGTTTGTGGTTGGGAGTATAAGACAGTAGCCAAAGGAAATTAACTTTTCTGGGTTAAATGCCTTCAGTCCTACTACACACACGTACAAAGGAGTGGAACGTGCTTCCATGTTAATGCACGTGGGCTGCACTGTAGATTTCACAGATCAAAGGCAAATTTCAGTAGCATTGTGCCTAGAGCATATCAAAATAATACGGGCTGAAGGGACAACTTACATATATCTTTCAAAACCTTGGGATGTGTGACATTATGTGCCTTTCTTTCCACTGCACTAGATTCACTGCAAGAGCAGAGACCCGGATGAGCTTTGAAGTCTGCACCCCAATCCTAAATAGCCTGGTGTGACAACTACTGTTTGCAACTAGCCTCAGAATGACCCATTTAAATCACCACTGGGCTCACAGGGTGACTGCTGGCCAAACATGTCTCCCTCTCATAGGGCTGCTGCGAGGATAAACAGACTGCCGAAAGACCTACATACTGCCCCGTGCATTTTGGGGACAAAACATGATATGAAAGTTGAATACATACACAATACAATCAAAAGCAAATTTCACTGCTTTTTGTGCAGTTTATTCCCAAGTAAGCGCACTGAGGATGGCAGGTTTTGGAGGGACAGAAGTAAATGATAAGCTTTTGAAGGTATACTTTTCCTTTTCTTGGTATAGAAACAGATCACATAAATCTATTTACAGCATGTCTACTCAAAGATCAGACTTATCAAGTTCTGACAAATTGAGTCTCAAGCCTAAATGTCCACAGGATTACATCAAAGGAAAACATTACCGAGAAGCAAGGCTCAAACAGGACCAGAGCTAACCTAAGAGTTTGAAAAGATGCAGAAAATATAGTAGGTGATTCATCTTGTTTGCAGACCTTTTGAAAAAACTGTAAACTGTGTTTTCAAATAATTTGTTAAGTTAGGGGAGCAGAAATTGTTGTGGGAACAGGCCCCTACGTATCACCCAAAGGTACTTAGTTCCAGCCCCTATTAAATAGCTCTTCAGGGCTTTGTTCCAAATAACAACACTACACTGTATGGCTGAAAACCCTTTATGTGCATCTACCTGGGACTAAACCCCATTGCATTCCATGGGACATGCTTCTGAACGATTGCCCTGTGCGTATTGTTCCGCCAAAGCAGGCTTCCTCGAACTGGTACCTTCCAGTGCATAAAAAGTGGCATTCATTACCACACAGTCTCCCCATGGCCAACTTGGATGGCATTCCAGCCATCCAACTTGAATTAATGAAATTCATGGAGGGTCAGGTGACGAGTGGCTGCAAGGACCTTTTGACAGAAGTAGTACACCTCCATACACCAGTTGCTTGGGAACAGGAGCAGTGTGGTTGTATTGCACCCAATATCCTACTTGTGGGCTTTCCCACAGGCCGCTGGTCTGCCATTGTGTGAACAGAACTTTGGACAGAAAAAACGGTTCCCTGATCCAGCAGGGCTCTTCTCTGGGGAAGCAGCAACCCGTCTGGATGAGGGCAGCGGATTGCACAAGGGGCCGCCTTTGCAAACGGTCCAGAGACTTCAGCGGCTGGTCCAAGCCTGGGCAGCAGGACCGTCAGCAAACAAGAAGGAAGCGACCTATGACGCTGACGCTTTATGATCTGCACTGGCTGCCCAGTTCCAAGCTCCGGTGGGGATGCTGGGAGTTGTAGTGTGACACGTCCGGAAGGCGCACCAGTTCGAGGAAGGCTGGTGCTAAGAGCCAAAGCCACGCTTCCTCCCTCCCTGGCGCAGCCCGAGAAGCAAAACCGAAAACAGCGGCCACATGGCGCGGCGACACACCCCCTCCTCCCGCCGCCTGGCCGGCCCCCTCCAAGCCGGGAGGCCCCGCGCCCCCTTCCGCCGCGCCCCCCACCCCGCGCCCCGAGCCGGTCGCCCCCGGGCCTGGGGCGGCGGCGGCGGCGTCCCCCGGGCGGGCCACGCGGCTCCCGGGCCGGGGGCGGCTCGCGCGGGCCTGCCCTGCGTCGCCCGCCGTTTACCTTGCCGTGCTCGTCCCGCAGGCGCCCCAGCTGGGTGCTGCTGAGCGGCGGGGCCCGGGCGGCGCCCTCCATGAGCCTCGCGGGGAACGGCGGAGGGCGCGCGCGGGCGGAGGGCGGCCAACGGCGCGCCGGGCCGGGCCTAGGCCCGGGGCGGCCGCCTGTCTCTAACGGGGCCCGCCTCCCTCTTAACGGGAGCGCGAGAGCGGCGCTGGCGGCGGCGGCCCGCTCCTCTCCGCGCCGCTCCTCAGCAGGGCGAATGAGTCCTATAGAAGTGCTTGTGCAGCGCGAAGCGCCGGCTCCGCAGTCGCATCCACGGCGTGGGGGCCGCCGCAGCCGCCTGGGCCCAGGAAGGAGCCGCTGCCGCCGGGGGACGCATCTCACTCTCGCATGCTGGGCCGCGCCGCCGCGCCGCCGCCGCCGCGCCCGGGCAGGGCTGCTGGGCCGGGTGAGGGCTGCGCGACGGGGCGCTCCTCGCGCCGCGGGGCCGGGCCGGGCCGGGCCGAG